TTTTGGCTGCTCCTGCCTTATCTGTAGAGGCAGGGGGGGGGGGAGTGGGGGTTGGAAGACGACTCGGCCCCAGTTCCTCGGGGTGAGGTTCTCAGGGCGAGGGAGAGGTTGACTTGGGGGCCTTGGTCCCCATTGGACCCCGCCTGGGTTTTTACACCCTCGGAACAGGACTTGATGTTACAAGGAGAGGTTGTTCTCTTTCGCTCCTTTCTCGTATGAATTGGATTTGGGTTCTACCCCTCCCCGGGTTCGGTTCCATGATCCCGTCTTTCCGGAAGTTTTCGGCTTCCCGTGTCCCATCTCATGTGGTGTGGGAAGTCCTCGCTGCTTGCCTCCTGTGCGACCTGGATTATGCTTTCATAATGGATCCGCGTTCCTTCGTGTATGGCTCTTCGTGTCCTTACTGGGTTTGTTACGAAGTTTCGGAGTCTTCCTGGTTAGCAGACTGCCCTCATTTCTCATTGGAGGTTTGGCATACATTCTGTCAATCTCGCACACTTCCGTTCATTGAGGTCGACCACAGGTGTCAGGTTTGGTGCCGGTGCCGCCTGCAATCCTGCCTGTGCCGGGTCGGCGCGGTGTTCACTCTGCATGCTGGTCGGGTTCTTGTAAGGGGCAGTGGCCCTCTCGCGGTTTGCCCCATTGATGGGGCGGGGGGGGGGGGAGGCTTGTTCTGTTCACTCACGCCTGGTCTCATGATTTGTGGGCTTTTCGGGTTATTTCTCTCGGCCTGAGGTGGTATTGGGTGCCTCCTCCTCCTTTGGGGGGTTCGGGGCTGACGGGGCAGGCTTCCTCTCCTGCGCTCTGTCGGGTCATCTTGGAGTGGGTGCGCTTCGGCGTGGTCGAAATGATGACGTCTCTCAGGTGGGTTTCCTGCCTGTTCCCAGTTCTGAAACGGGACTGTGTGGACCTGCGGTTCATTCTAGACTTGTCCCGTCTAAACCCTTGGGTTTCTTGCCCCTCGTTTCGGATGACCACTCTGTCCCAGGTCCGGCTTCTGTTGGAGCTGGGCGCTTGGATGGTGTCCCTGGACCTCAAGGACTCGTATTGGGACGTCCCTATTCATCTGGGGGTTCAGGGACTGGCTCGGTTTTGTTGTGGGGCGTCAGGCTTACTGCTTTTGTTGTCTTCCTTTCGGGTTGAATCTGGCACCTCGGGTGTTTACACGCCTTACCCGGGTCATGGTGGCCCGTCTGCATCTGGTAAGTGTTCGGGTGTTGGCTTACCTCGATGAATGGCTAGTTTGGGCTCCCAGTCAATCTGCGTGTCTGCTATCCAGGGATTTGGTGCTTTCCCAGTTCGCCGGGTTTGGGTTCCTGGTGAACTGGAGGAAGTCCTATCTGGTTCCCTCCCAGGTTCGGGCCTGGCTGGGTCTAGTGTGGGACTCTCGGACCGCTTCCTTATCTCTTCCTCCGGCGTCTCTCCTTTGGCTGTGGTCTCGCCTGTGCTTGTTTCTGGGGGGCTCCCGGGGTCACCTGGTGGTTGCTCGAGGGTCTGTGCGGGAGCTTGAACTTTGCGATGTTGGTCTACCCTCCGGGTCGGGTTTGGCTTCGTCGGCTGTTCTGGTTCCTTCAGGGACGTCCCTTCCGCCTCTCTCAAGATCGCTGTGTTCGTCCCCCGGGGGCTTTGTGTCAGCTGCTGCGTCGCCAGCTTCCTCTAAGGGTTTTTTGGGGTTCTATGCTTTGGTGCCTTCCCGAGCCCTCCCTTAATGTATTCACAGATGCGCCGTCTCTCGCCTGGGACTTTGTGACCGACTCACCAGGCCGGCCAGGGGCGGTGGTGTCTGTTCTTCCGTTGGGTCCACAGCACAGTGTGGGAGTTCGCGACGGTGTGGTTTGCGCTTCGGAGGGTTCGGGTCGCATGTGGATTGACGATCCGGCTCCATTCGGACTGCTCCCTGGTGGTTCATTGCCTAAACCGAGGGGGTTCGATGCGGTCCTTGGCTCTTTGGGGTTGGTAACTTCGGGTGACTCATCTGCTGAGTTCTCGAGGTTTGGCTCTCCTGGTGGTTCATGTCCAGGGGGTGTTCAATGTCCTGGTGGACAACCTATCTCGTTTTCTTTCTTCCCCTTTCCATGGAATAGACGTCGACGCCGACTCCTTCAGTTGGCTCTGCCAGACGTTCGGGCGCCCGGAGGTGGACCTCTTTGCATCGGCATGGTCGAGGCGTCTTCCGGTATATGTGGCGCCCTTCCCCGACTGCGAGGATGTCTGGATCGACTCCTTTCGGCAGGACTGGTCGAGGTGGGGGGGTTCCTGTACCTCTTTCCCCGGTTTGGTTGTTGCTCCAGGTCCTGGCTCGCTTGGAGACCTACCAGGGTAGAGTAGTCTTCTTGGCCCCATGGTGGCCGGCCCAGTCGTGGTTTCAGGCACTGCTTGTCCGATGTTCAAGCCCGTAGATTTTTCCTCGGCTCCGCTTCTTTCAGGAGATTGGCCCGGTTTGGTATGAGACGGGTTCGCTCTTCTCCTCGAGTCTTTGTATTTGGTGTTTTTGACTCGTGTTCATCATGTGTTGTGTCCGGTTACGGTCCTCCGCCGTTATATGTGCGCTACGGCTACTGTGTCCAGGGACGTGCTTTGGGTTGATCTGGTTTCCCTTCTTCCCTGTTCGTGGGTTTGGGACTCTCAGGTTGTCCGCAGGGTAATTAAATCCAGCCAGCCTGCTGTCTATCCCTGTGCCCATGACGTTTGTAAGTTTGCTGCTCTTGCTGCCATCTTTGGCAGTATGTCGTGGGCTGACATTCGGGCATGGGGTTTTTGGCGGTCATACAGGGTCCTGGCAGCACGCTACCTTGTGAACATTCCTGGGCCCAGTCGGGCCTGTGTTGCTTTGGGTCGGTAGTTGCAGCCCGTTGTCTCAACTTCGAGTTGAGGAGTAGAGCACCGACTGCCTCCCGGGTAAGTCCCCTTTTTTCTTTTGTTGTCTTTTGTGAAGTAGCTCCGGGGGGCCGTAGGGGCTCCCCCCAGAAAACCAGCGTTGAATGTAATGAAACATCATTTTCTGGGTGAATCCCAGAGGCTTCCCGGCAACCCTCCCTCCCTGCAGTCGGCGTTTTTTTTGTGGGTTTTGATATCCAACCTCTGAACTGGGATGGGGGATTGCCGGCGCGAGGGGTCTGGGGCTTCCCCTTTGAGGGGGAAGCTGCGCAGACATGCGGCGCGGCTCGTGTGACGTCATGCTTGTTTGTTCGTTTTTCTTTTGGGGAGTTCCGTCCACTCGTTTGACGATTTTCGTTGTTAACCAGAATAGGGGTTTGTTTTGTGGCGCTTACCTTTCTGGGTGCCTGTCCCGGTCGATGGCAGATATAGAATGCTCCAAATCACTTGCATTTCTATGGGCCATTGCTCCTCGTGCCTCTGTGAGGCAGCCAGATTCTGGCTCGTGATCTCCGGTATGCCTAGAACTCCACCCACATCGATTGATGCAAAATAGTTAGGGGTATCCTATCAGCCATGGATAGCTCCGGGGAGTCTCCGGGACGCACCCAGAAAATGGTGTTTCATTACATTAAACGCTGTTTTTTTTCAGTTGGCGCAGTAATGGGCAAACAAGTTTTCTCGGCCGGCGCAGCACAGTGGTTAAGAGGCAACAGTATTAGGCATAAAATGCTGATTCTAAAATAACCAAGAGAAAAATTATGAAATCACTAGAACAAACACTGAAGAGAGAGAGAGAAAATGACAGTAATGGGCAAACGAGTTTTCTCGGCCGGTGCAGCACAGTGGTTAAGAGGCGACAGTATTAGGCATAAAATGCTGATTCTAAAATAACCAAAAGAAAAATTATGGAACCACTAGAACAAACACTGAAGAGAGAGAAAATGACAGAAAGAGGTGAAATGAGTGCCAAGCAACTTCGTTCTGCTGCAGCTGTGAAGTAGGATGCAAGTGGGACACTGATAACCCAGCCACCTGCTCTACGGAAGAGAGAATGGAAAAACATAGAGAATGTAGCGATAAATGGGGAACAAAACCAGACAAAACATTTGCTGAAATAACTTACGAATTAGAGTAAAAGCAAGTCATTAAAGCAACAGTAATATTTTGTATAAAAAGCCAGTTGCTGTTAAATGTACAAGTCAGGAGTTGGAGAGGGTAATAGCAGTAATCTATAATCAGCTAGAGTCAGAGGGGAAGACATGGCAAATTATTGGGGAATTTGATTCATCATAAAGTCCCCATCACTTGAGAAAAAATGGGGACAAGAAGATTACAGATTTGAGATTACATGAATTCTCTGCTAAATACAGGCTAGTGAGGCAACCAGGGAAATTGAACATTACTGAAGGCTTATGTTCCAAATGGGATGGAATTAACCAGTGAGTTATCTTTCAGAACATTACTCCAGCGAAATATATGCCGGCTGAAAAGTGGAAATTGAACGTGGCCTTTTCAAATATGTCTTGGGCTGATATTCAGGCTCATGGGCTTTGGAGGCCTATCAGGGTCCTATTGGGTCATTTCATGATCCACTAGGGTTTTCGAATAACTTGTTTGTGAGGTCATTCTGTTTTGCCTACTTTCTGGATGTTTCCTTTGCGAGGGTGATCATAACTGTCCGCTGTTCCCTGCAAATCTGTATGAGGGGAAGACCAGGTTTCGACTCTGGTCTCTGGTAAACAATCCAGACTCCTAGGGTTGATGTGACTCATGTTTGTAGAGCTAGCTCAGCAAGCTAGCTTCACGGCAGCCATCGAGGCCCAACCAGAAAGAGGCATTTCATAACATTGAGTGCTGTCAATGTCTGATGTCTGGAAGCCATCTGAGGCTGGATTGAGACATCTTCACTATCTATCTAGCATCAGAATGACTCGGTGACAGTTTGAAGACCTTCCTACTGTGCTGGTGCAAATTGTTAATGCACCATCGCATGCACCAAATCAAATCAATCATCTCAAGATAACCATAACTAAGTCCATAACTAAGTTTAGACCTGTCCTGGGGCCAGGAGGTTCTGTGGCCTTATTGTTTTCCATTAACTGTATTACTATATTTTTCAGGCATTACAAGCCAAGGAAATGGAAGGCTTTTTTGACCAGATGGCATCTTACCAAATTGCAATGAGTCTGTTGTACAAGAATGAGAAATACCAGGAGGTATTGGATGTGTTTGAATTACTACAAGAAAAACGAATTGGAGGAATAAGATACCCCAAGAATTGCTTCACTATTGCCGTAGCCACTTTATACAAGTTGGTAAGTATTTATCAGACATGTGATGCAGTCCTAAATAGAAGGCTAAATATCATTAGTGTAAATTATTCATTGTTTGAAATTTAAAGATCAATGTTGTAAATAAAGCATCATTGAGGTTACTCCCAATCCTGTGTGGGTGTTTATCCAAGTATACCCCCCACATAGGTCTGTGCAAAATAGAATCTTCTAGGAAAAATTCAACTCCTTGCTCAACTAAAAATTTGATTGCATGAAAAATATGATATATTTTGTAGAATAAAAATGCTCTCAGCTCTTACCAATACCCTTCATCCACTTGATGTAAAACCAGTGTTGAATGTAATGAAACGCCAATTTCTGGGTGAGCCCCGGAGGCTCCCTGGAGCTATCGAACTGATATACGCTATATTAGTCTGGGGCATCAGTCAATGTAGTTTTGTCTACTGGGGACCACTAGCCAGAACCTGGCCCTCTCAGAGAGACACAGGGAGCAATGGCCTATGGAAACCCCCATGGGTTTGGGAGCATTCCATGTCTGCCATCGACCAGAGTTAAGCACCCAGAAAGGTAGGCATAACAATGCAGACCCCAACTGGTAAGAAATTGCAACCGAAGACCAAACAGACAACTCCCCCAAAAAAAACATAAGGAAAGAAGCAAACAAGCAAACGTCATTCCCTGCTGCAGCTCTCCTTGTCCGTACTGCCCTCCCCTCTCCTGGAAGGGGAGAGGGGATCCCCGGTTCCCCAGCACCGGCTACTCACACCTTCAGTTCGGAGGCTGAGCATCAAAAGCAAAATGAAACCACCGATCGGAAGGTGCCAGGGAGTCAGGGAGCTAGCGGGGCTCAGAAAATGGCATTTTATTACATTCAACAGTGGTTTTCTGTGGGGAGCCCCTTCGGCTCCCTGGAGCTACCTAACCAAAGACAAGTAAAAGAGGGACTCGCCCAGGAGGCGGCTGCCACGCACACATCAACTTCAAAACGAGACAACTGGCTGCAACTTGCGACTCAAAGCCCCACACAAACTAACGAGACCACGAAGAGTGACCAGACAACAGGCAGCCAGTACCCTGTTCGACCTCCAAAACCCCCGTGCCCAAATGTCAGCCCGAGACATGTTGCCAAACACAGCAACCAAAGCAGCAAACTTACGAACATCATGGGCACGAGGGTAGACTGCAGGCTGGCTAGATTTAATAACCCTGCAGACAACCTGGGAGATCCGAGCCATGGAAAAGGGAACGAGGGAAATCGGATCAACACAAAGCGCGCAGATAACGGTGAAGAGCTGCAACCAGACACAACACAATATGCACTCCCTGGCCTGACCAACCAAGCAACATTGACCCAAGGGCCTTTCCAGAAGACCGCCGTCTCGTTCTTTGCCAGAATATGAACTCCCTGGATATGAACCGCACAGTGTGCCAAACCCAGAGAATTCAGTAGACGAGTCACTCAAAGAGACCAGCCCCAAAGAGCCAAGGACCGAAGAGAACACCCATGGTTCAGACAATGAATCACCGCAGAGCAGTCCGACTGCTCTGACGAGGCCGCTTGCAGAAACTGAGTGCCAGAAGGTTCTGCAAACAGCAACGGACAAAAAAGGGGATGAAAACCGAAGAGCCAGGTTCCAAGCGGATTCTAAGGAGAGAGCAAGCACGGCTTGGCAGCACGCGAGGCGAGAAGCAAAGAACAGAGCCACCGCCTCCCTGAGAATAAGCATAAATAGCTTCAACAGGGCGGACGACGCTGCAGCCTCCGAGGCCAGCACCCCAGCCGCCAAGGCCAGTGCTTCAGCCACTGAGGCCAGAGCCCCAGACGAAGGCCCGGTATTCAACACCTCCACATCCTCCACAAGCCAGTCCGAAGACAACTCAAGAAGGGAAAAGAAACGCAAGACCAAGGCCAAATGCCCGCGAGCTCACAAGTCGCCGCCAAGGACGCCAAAAGAGTAAGAACCAGCACATGCAGCTGGACAAGGTAAAAATCCCAAGGAAGCACAGAGGCAGACAAGCACATGTGAAGGCGCTCAAACTTGCCCCCACAGGTAAACCTGCAAAATGGTAGCAGCCTTCCACCAATCAAGCATGTGGGGTCCGACAAAACCCATGCAACGCTTAGGATGCATGCAAGGTGGGATGCGAAAAGCAGGAGGAGGAGCCGAGGAACCCAAGGGAGTCCAGAAATGAACCCAGGGAGTAGCCAACCCGAAATCATACTCATACAGGGAAGGAAGGGGGAGGGGTAAAAACCTCCCCCTGCAACTACAAACCCTGCGAAGAGGGCACCAAAACCCAAGCGGGATCAAAGGAGGCCCAAGCCCCCTATCTGCATCTGAACAGAGCCAAAGAACTCACCCCAAAAGAAAACAAATAAATAAGCATATTGTCATTCAACTAGCACTCTCGCTCGTTAGTATCCCCCCCCTCCCCCGACAGGGGAAAGAAGGGGCCCGCTCAGGTGAGCTGGCAACTCACCACTCCAGTTCTTGACTGATGTGCACTGGGGGGCACACGTTACCTCTGGCCTCTCTTTCCTGTCTGGATTTTTCCCTGTGTGGTTGTACCAGCTGTGTGGGGTGGTTGTGGTGACCAGGTGTTCTGTATGCAGGGCTGCATGTATCTAGGGCTAGCTTTCCTAGATGCCCTGTAAGTACTACCCTTGCGTATTCAGGATTCTCTTCCCTGGGGCGTTCGAGACTCTCCCGTTGGGTTCTCCATCGCTTCGCAATGACCATGCACTTGGGGTTGAGCTGGGGTTATAGTGCTTTCCATCTTGCCCTGCGTAGGGAATGATTGCTGCTGAGTGGGGCACAGTGTGTGGTCAGCGCAGCCTGCGCACACTCAGCGGATGCGATTCTCTCTGGCTACCGCATTGTTTGTTTGTGGGATTTTGGGGGGTTTGCTTTATTTCTTGTTTGGCTGGAGGAGGTCTGCCTAGCTTCCCATTAGGTCTGCCTAGGATGTGTTTGGTGGTCCTCCTCGGGTGCCCAGGAGGTTTTACGACTGCTACTGGGGGGTCAGTTTGCCTGGTAATAGACAGGGTTCAACCGGCTTTGCTGGCCCCAGTGCCTGGGTTCCCTGTAGGGTTACTGACCTCTGCGGGCCCTGGAAAACCCCTTAGGGCTCAGGGTGACTCAGTGTGTCCCTTCCGAGTCCTCTCTCGCCTTGTGCGAGATTGAAGGTTGCTCGTTGCCCCTGTCTCAGGGTGATTATCATCTGTGCTGCCACTGTCATGTTGCCTGTTGGGTCGATGACACCTTCGATCCAGAGTCTTGTGAGATTTGTTCTCCACTCATGATCCAGTTTACCCATTCTTTGTCTGAATATCTTAGGGGTCAGGTGGCAGCTGCAATTGCATGCTAGGTATTCTTTGTTGCAACGAGCCAGGTAGGTTGCCTGGTTGGAAGCCCCAGAACTGCCCGCTTGGGTTTTAGGGACCAGGATTTGGGGGCGTTAGTCGCATCGACTTTTTTGTCTGCGCCTCTGCTGCCGGTTCCCAAACTTCTGAGAGTTTCGGAGTTGGGGCAGGATTTAGCTCAGGATGAGTCTCGGGTGATTTTGGGGAATGCCCCTTCAAATTCGGGTACGGAGCCCAATGTCCCCTGGACTCCGACATTTCTTCAGGGGTGGTGGGCGTGGATGAAGGTTCTGCCCCAGGGCCTGTGTCCGGGATTCCCAGGGCGCATGGGGAGTCCGCTTGGAGCGAGTGGTCTCCTTTTGACCCCGCTTGGGCCTTGGTGCCTTTGGGGCAGGGGTTATTGCTGCAGGGGCGGGGTGTTCTTATCTACCTTCGCTGTATGCATTTGAGTTGGATTCCCCCCCCCCCCCCAGGTTCGTTTCTGGGTACCTTTGGGTTCTTCGAATTCGTCCTTCCAGAGGTTCTCTGCCTCTTGGATTTTCCCTGCAGAGGTTCGGGAGGCTCTGGGTGCTTAGCTCCTGCGAGACCCGGGTTACGCCTCTATAATGAATCCGGCTTTGTTTGATTTCAGTTCTTCTTAACCATATTGGCTGTGTTATGAGGTTCTGGAGTCTTCCTGGCTAGCAGACTGCCCTTTCTTTTTGCTTGGAGTTTGGCATGGGTTTTGTTGTACCCCACATGCTTGAGTGGAGTGAGGTTACCTCAGTGTTGCAGGTATTCTTGGGGGCTCAATGGAGTTCCTCAATGAGAGAGGTGGGTTTGCTACAATTACATGCTCAGTTTCCCACTCGGTTTCATTGGCAGCAAATGACCATTGAGCTTGCGATCTTTTGGCCTCGGTCTTGTGCTTCTTTAGCCTTCTGGAGCTGTCCTCGGACTGGCTTTCAAAGGATGTGGGGGCACTGAGCTTCGACTGAGGTTCTGGCTTCAGCTACAGAGATGTCAGATGCCATGATAAAGCTGTTTGCGCTGATCCTCTGAGAAGCGGTGTCCGTTTTTTGCCTCTCGGCTCACGTGTCGGCAGGCCATCCTTGCTCTTTCTCTTGATCCCGCTTGGGCTCTGGCTCTTCAGTCTTCATCTCCGTTCTGTAATTTGTTATTTCCTGAGGACTGTATAGCTCAGTTTTTGTTGGGGGCTTCTGCCAGTTGCCACCCCATTTCGGATTTGTTGGTGCTCCAGGAGGGATTGTTCTTGGGGTGGTCGTGCCAGGGCTCGGGTTTCGATTGGTCGAGGTGGGTCGTTGGTGCCAGTTTCTGAGCCTGTGTCTTCTGGGGGTCTTCTTCATCTGGTCGGCGCGGTGGTCGCTCTGTACAGAACTTGGCTTCTCGGTGGTTGCATTGGCCGTTTTGCGGGTTACCCTGTTGACGGGGAGATGGAGGAAGGTGGAGCTGGCTTTCTTTACCAATGCTTGGTCCCACAATTTGTGAGCTAATCAGGTCATCTCTACCAGACTGTGGTGGCATTGGGTGGCTCCTCCTTTGTTGGTCGGTTCGGGGCTGGTAGATCAAGCTTTTTCCTTGTCTCTGTCGAGTCATCTTGGAGTGGGTTCGCTTTGGCATGGTCTAAACGACTTCGTCCCTCAAGTGGGTTTCCTGC